GTGGATTCCTGTATCCCCACTTCTCTGTTGCCTGGAGAGAGATGAAATCCTGAGGTCCGTAGTGGGAGGCAGAGGAGGGCTGACCCCAGCAGGGAAGCAGGGACCCCTCTCCTGGCACAATCAGGGTCAATAAGATGTGGCAGGACCTCAGATCCCACATCACCCTTGCAGCTCAGCCATCTTGAGGCACATTCAGCAGTTCCTGTGCAGTCTCTTCCCACCCCCGATGATTTGGGGTACCCCTTCCTAGGAGGCTAGGGCCCCTCTCTTTTCATAGCTGCATACACAGTGCATGGTCCATACCTGGGGTGGCCCAGAGGTTCAGTTCTGAACACACTAATACAGAGATATGTACCAGACCTCAGGGCAGATGACCAGCCCACAGTGGGCTGAGTGCATCTATGTTCAGAGGAAAAGCCCAGCTTGATCATCTGGGAGCAGATCTTGGATGGGACTAGAGTCATGAGCTGGTGAAGACACCCAGGGCCCGGGATGGGAGAGAAGGGCATTGGGCTCAGGATGAAGGCCTGGGTTTTCTGCACGTACAAGACTTATTGTTCAGTCACTCAGTCGTGTCCAACTCTTTGCGACCCTATGGACGACAGCACTCCAGGCTTCCCTATCCTTCATAATCTCCCGGAGTTTGCTCACATTCACGTCCATTGAATGAGTGATGCTCCCAGACTGCGTACAAGCCTGAGATAACACGAAGGATGGTTATAATCACTGATGTGTTGAGCCCAAAGGGAGGGGCTCCAGGAGGGGAAAGGACTGCCTCAAGGCCATCCAGATAGCACCTAGCTCTGCCTGGCAAAGAGACTGCCGTCTGATCCCTGGTCACCCCACTCTGTGTTTCTGTGTCAGACCTGCTATCTCATCTTTGTTTTACTGCCCTTCCCCACAACAGCTAATGTGACTGAAGACAGCTAAACTGTTGTGTCTTTATTTCTGCCTCTGACCTTGGTCCCTGAGCCCAGGGAGCTGATCAGCTGGAGATCTGAGAGGTTGGGAAGAACTGGGAACAACTGGCAGAGGTCGAGGTGGCCCGGCTGGGGACTGAGGCCCTCGCTCTGTGCTGATCAGGCAAAGGGGCCAGGATGGGGGTGCCCGCTCACGAGAAGCAGGGGGAGCAGGAACTCTGGCTGCTGCCCATGGACTGTCCTCTTCCTCCAGGCAGCCTTCCCTCATTCACCCTCTCAGCCCCTCAAGATGGGCTCCATGACGGCCTTGTTACCTATGGAGGGATTAAGAACAAAGGCTGCCAGAGCTGGGCCAGGCCTGTGTGATGTCACCTCTTGACCTCCTGACCACCACACATGTGGAGGCTCCCATATTGGCTAAGCATTTACACTCGCATTTTTTTCTACGCGTTTTCACTGAAGCCTCACAAGCACCATATGAGTTAGATATTATAGATCCCATTTCACACAAGGAAACAGAAGGACAGGAAGGTCAGTGAAGGTCACCAAGCCAGTAGAATTCTGACCCCAGTGACTTCCCGCCCCCCCCCCCCCCCCCCCGCCGCCAAATCTTGGCACAGCCCAGCCAGCCCACCTGGGGAGGACTGGGCACTGTCTGGCCAATCTCTCCTGAAGATGGCACCCACCCTCTTCCCTTCTTGTCATATTTGATGGACTCCACCATGACACTTTCTACATTTTGGCATCTTTGCAACCTGAGGGCATTGTACATTCTTTGTCAGGCCAGGCTGCTCTTGTGACTATTGTCTTTTCCCGGCACACATATCAGAGCTTGCAGGATAGGTGTCAGTGGCTCAAGAGAAAATTCTGGGACCAGTAGCAGGGCATTCTTAAGACAAGGTGCTGAGCTGTGGTACTTTGGATGGTGTAGAGGACAGGGCCGAGTGGATAAACCTGACTCAGATGGCTCTCGAGTCGTGAGAGGTTTTGAGGAGGTGAATGCTGAATACCAAGCAGTTCTGGGTCTGCTTGGTCTGGGGTGTCTCCATTTGCATCTCATGGGGTGCTGCACATGCTCACAGCTCTCCAGTACCCTGTAGGGTGGTGGTCGAGGAGACACAACCCGGAAGCCACACAGCCAGTGTGCAGCATCCCTCCAAAGGGCTCCTGTATCATCCCAGAGGAAGCAGGAAAGATGGTCTCTCAGGTGCCCACAGGTGGCAAAGTGGGAGAATCGGATGGTTGGTCTAACAGCCTGTAGGGCTGACAATTGTTATCACCTGGCTCTGAGAGGAAAGCAGAGAGGAGAGTGAAGCCTGGGACCACAATCCAGCACCCTCTCCAAAACTGGTACCACAGCCCTTTGTGGGTGTGGCTCATGATGGCTCATCTCCAGGGCCCCATTCTGAGCCCAGCTCACGGAAATCATTCAGTTAGTGTTCACTGAATGAATGAAAATTGCACATGGCTTTGGAGTCTCTATGACACGGGTTCAAATTGCACACCAGCTCCTGCTCTGAGCCTCAGTTTTCACATCTGTAAAATGGGGATAAGATGTCTTCATGGTAGAGTAATTGGGAAGGTGAATGACATGTTGTACATAAAGTACTGGGCTTTGTGGCCAGGGATTAACTAATGGGGATGGGAAGGAAGAATTCATAAGCCTGGTTATCACAATTTATCACAGCATGAAGGTGGGACAAAGAAGTGGGCCAAGCATGAACTTAAGTCCTGGCTGCAAAGGACATTTCCAGAAGCTCCACACAGTGCTTGTGCTTACCTTCCACTGGCCAATCCCACAGCCATACTCAGGCACCAGGGGAAACACAGTCTACTGTGAGTAGCCTTGTGCCCAGCAAAATCCAGCCTTGTGTCACTAGGAAAGGTGGAACGGTTCTCCGCATGTAGCCTTAGCCACACGGCCTCACGGCCTCATCTCGCGTGAGCCTCATGAGGCGTGACATATTGGCTCCGTGGCCCAGAGGAGACACTGAAGCCCCAGAGAGCTTCCATATGTGTGTGTGAAGCCTTGGTCTGTGAACGGCTGAGCATCCATCCCCATCTCAGTTCTGCCCCTGCCCCTGTTCCGTGCCTCTGTGAGGGCCTTAGAGAAGTCCAGACACCCAAGAGTCACCCCTCACCTTCTAGGTTTCTTGCTACTGGATGGACCATGCAGTTTTCCCTCTTATTCAGGGGTGGGAGCGGGGTGTGATTTGGCCCCGCGACGGTGGCTGAGGACACCACAGAGTTTGGTAGAACCCCAGGCCTGTGGGGGCAGCATCCTGGGAGCGAGGAGAAGGTGGGGTAAGGAAGGGGAACACCCAGGGGTGAAAGAACTGCTCCCAGAGGCAGAGAAACCCCCGCAAAACAAAACAGATTTCACCCAGCGACAGATTACTTATTAGCTTCAATGTTGATAGCACCACCCTTGGCCTGAACGTGGAAGTGGCTTTGTCTCTAGAGCCGCCTTGTGTGGGGAGACACATCTGGGCTTGATAACACCACAAACGGGTATTTTGGTTCCTTCTTGTTTAAAGAGATGATCCTGCTGCTGCCTGGCCCCGCCTCACCCTCCAGATTGGAAGCTATGTGACCCTCACGGCAGGACACCTCTAGCCAGATTTCCGAGCTGAAGGGAACACAGGAGCCTCCCCAGGGCCAAACCCATGCTCCAGACAGCTGGGGACGATGTTCTGTCCCGTCCCTCCAAAACAAAGCTGAAACTGAGCAAGGAATTGCTTTCAGATCAGATATGTGTTGGCACATGTCTGTGTCCTATTGGTTAGAAAACATGTTTTTTTGTTTTAAAAAATCAGATCTCCCTGGAAAGAACAATGGCATAATCAAAGAAGACAAGTATTTGGTGGGGCAGAAAAAACAAACTCTTTTGCCGAAAAAATCTTGAGGTTTGGCAAGTGCCAAGCTGTTCACAGCAGCTGGCCCCTCCGGCTTGGGTCAGAGGACAGGGCTCAGGGCTTGTCAAGGGTGTTGTTGTGGCCACCGAGTCCCTTAGAGGCCCTGGGGCAAAGGATCCCAGGGACAGTGTCACCGACCACGTCTCACAGCTCCAGTGGGTCTCTGCTGCTGCTGCCCGAGGCTACCCTGAGGGTCTGGGGTTACTGCGGTGGTCCTGGACATGAGGGCTTCTGAGAATGCGCCCCCCAACACACACCAGGCTCTCGAGGCCCCTCGGAGGAGGGGCACCTCCATGCGACCCAAGGCGCTGGCCACAGCTGGGGACACCAGACTTGGAGTCTTAACCCAGAGCAGCTGTTGGTAGCCTGGCTTGAGCACATGGCCCAGAGCCCGGTGTCCCTGTTCAGCCAAATAGATGCTCCCTCTTGGGGTTTTTGGAGGCAGAACACGCAGAGAAGGATCCAGAGAGTGACAGGCTGAGAGCAGGCAGTGTGCAGGGCGGGGGGTGGGCGGCAGCGATCCGGGGGCAGGGGCAGGGAGTGGAGGACTTAGGAGGAGCCACAGCTGAGACGCAGCAACTGAAGCCAAGGCCCAGGGGTAGTCAGACACGTGGCCGGACCTCCAAGACTCCTCTCCATGGACCACAGTCCTGGCAGCTCCCTCAAACAAGCTAAATCCCCGTGCTCTGAGCTAAGTGCTTCGCTGGAACCATCATATGTGCTGAAGGGGGCATTTTCAGAAGTGGAGAGCAGCAGGCATGTACACAAAGGATAGCTTATTCCTTTCAAGAGTTGTGGTCCCTTCCTCACCTCTTCCTGGAAGCCCTCCCTGACCACCCCTCCACCCACAATCCTCACCTCTCGATCCACAATATCCTTCCTTGGAGCATCCACAGGACTTGTCCCCAAGGGTTCCTGCCTCTTGCTACAGCCCAGCTTCTCATCTTCATCTTCCATCCCTCAGAAGGCAGGGACTTCTCCGGTGATCTGTGGCCTCTGAGCGTGAGGCCCGGAGCATGACAGGGGCTCAGGACTTACTCATAGGTGGGCACAGCACAGTCCACCAGCACAGTCTGCAGGAGGGGCTGGCCTGCAGACAGCCCCACCCACGCCCCCAGGGAGCACCAGCCCTGCCGGCCTCTGCGGACAGAGGTGAGAGCTCCCTATGGACTTCGCTCTTCGTGGAGCCAGCAGGGCAGCCTTTAGCCCGGGCCCGAGGGCTGGAGGTCTCGACGACCGGAGGTGGGTGGCAGAGCCCTGCTGGAGAGAAGCCTGGTGCCAAGGAGAGAAGCAGATGCACAGGCCAGGCTCAACGCTGGACTCCCCCTGGGGAGTTGGGGAACCTTTCTTATCGCTCGGAGCTCAGTTTGTGCTATTAGCTTGCACAACTGGGGAAAGGACGAAAAGGCCCTTAGGCTTGCCTGGAGTAGGGAGCAGGGCTGGAGACCCCAGCTCGGGAGTGGAGACACTGCCGGGCGCCGCCCGCCGCCGCCGACCACAGCAAGGGCCCACTGCTCGCACGCCCTGCCTTGCTCCACAGCCTGGTGTGCCCGTCCGCCTCCCCGGGGGAATGCAGGCCTCCTGAGGGCAGGCAGTGCCCACGCGTATTTTAGTGCCCGCAGCAGGCAGCACCAGGCCCACCTGGAGAAGGTGAGGTTTGCCGGGTAGAGACAGGTGAGGCAGGAAAGGGGAGCCATCTGATCTCGGGGGGGCCTGGTGGTGGCAGAGTGGAGTGTGGGGACTGGGCTGGGGTGGGCTGGAGAGGGGTCCCTGGGGATGCCGAAAGAAGGGCCTTGATGAGGACCCCCTGACGGCCATTGAGAAGCTGCCAACCTGACATCACTCACAGAGGATCACAAGCACACGTGCTTCTGAACCACCCCCTCCCCTTAGCACATGCGTCTGCAAGCACTTGAGCACACACACACACACACACAGAGGCACAAGCCCACGTGAGCAGAAAGAGCTTGAGCAGAGGCAAAGGGCCAACACTAAGCTTCCAGTGAGGACAGCCACTGAGGTCTGGCCCCTGATGTCACGAAGGAAGCCACCATCACCAGGGGTGAGTGAGATGAGGTTGGAAAGGCTTTATCATTCTTTATAGTCACATGTCTGGCCCACGGTAGATGCCGGGAACTTGTAGTTAATCGAGTCTCACAATAAGCGTGTGTGGTGAGCATTCCTCTTCCCTTTGGCAGATGATCAGACTGAGACCTCAGGCAGTTATGATTCTTGTCAACGCCTAGACACTGCTACCTGTGGACAAAGAGACTCGAACACGGGGCGCTGAGTTCTGTAGTCTATGCTCTTTCCAGCTAGCCCTCAGCCCCCTTCTGAAAAGTGGCCTGGAGAAGGATATAGAGATGGGACTCAGGAGCACCTGGGGCCATGGAAACCTTGTCATCTGGCTTTGGAGTGACCACCAGCCCTGCAGACGAACCTGCTCAAGCTTCATCAGGCCAAAGGGGTTTGCCAGTTCCTCCAAAAGTCCAAAAAGTCAGGTCACTGGCATGTAGAATCAGCATCCTTTGTCATTTTTATGTTCATACTTTTGGGGGAAAAGGAATGAAAATAAAAAGCAGCTGTAAGCCCCAGTGATGGGCGTAGGGACTGTTTAGAAGCCTGTAGGGACCCCACCCTGGGGTGTCCCACTGCATCTGGCCCGACATGATCCCTGCTGCCCAAGTTTGTTAGTGAAGCGGCTGACAGAGTGGGTGGTGCTCCCATATCCAGCTATGTGCAGCCTGTGATCCCCTTCCTTGGCCATGAGGCAGGCCACAGCCATCCCCACGCAGGGCTTTGTGACTGGGAGTAACTGTCACAGCAGGAAAGACAACTCTCCTTCCCGCCCCCCCCCCCATTTGCTTGTTTATTCAAATATGCATCGAGTACTTTTTCTTTTCCCTTGGGCCAAATCTTTCGTTTTCGAATTTTACTTTATATCAGAATTTATGCAGGAGACCCCAATTGAATTCCTGGTTCGGGAAGATCTGCTGGAGAATGGATAGGCAACCCACTCCAGTATTCTTGGGCTTGCCTGGTGGCTCAGCTGGTAAAGAATCCACCTGCAATGAGGGAGACCTGGATTCGACCCCTGGGTTGGGAAGATCCCCTGGAGAAGGGAAAGGCTACCCATTCCACTATTCTGGCCTGGAAAATTCCGTGGACTGTACAGTCCATGGAGTCACAAAGAGTCGGACAAGACTGAGTGACTTTCACTTTCACACTTGATTTACAATGTTGTGTTAGTTTCAGGTATATAGCACAGTGATTCAGCCACGTGTATACATACATGCCCTCGTTTTTGGATTTCATTCCCATTTAGCCCCATAGAGAACTGAGTAGTGTCCTCTGTGCTATATAGTAAATCCCTGTTGATTATCTATTTTATATACAGTAGTGTGTGTATGTTAATCCCAAACTCCTCAATTATCCCTCCCCCAAACCCCTCCCCTTTCCCCAGGCAGCTCCACTTTTGAAGACCCAATGGCTTTGCCGTACAGAGTCCTGGAAACCTGTATTACCACTTGCCTTTCATAAAGGCACCAGGGAAAGTGGAGTTAGAGGCCACCTGCTCTGGAGAGCGGATGAGGGGCTGTTCAATCCTGTGTCGGGGCGAGACATGGAGGAGAGAGGCCAGGGTGCTCGGGGGGACCCAAGCTGTAGCAGCCACCAGGCCAGGCTCTAGGACCCCGCGTGGTGGGACGCAGCCAGGGTGTGGCAGGATTGGAGGCTGGGACACCACCACAGGGTCACGGCCTGGCCACTCCTGGGCTGATGGGGCCTCACCTTCGCCTCCGATTCTCTGAGGAGGGAGTTTTGTCAACAGCAGTGTGGTGACTGCCCAGCCAGCCTGCCAATGTCTGTGCTCCGCCTGCACGCACATCCAAATTCTCCCGGACGTCCCAGGATCGGAAGTCTGCTCTGGAAGGTGATAGTAGGGCAGCCGGTCTTGCTGTAGCACAGAGACCCTGACATGTAACGGTTCGAGCCCAAGAGAGACACATCACTCTCTCACCCAACAGTCCAGGACGGAGGCTCCAGGCGGGCAGGGGCCGTGCAGCCCTTTGGGGATCCAAGCTGCCTGCAGCGCTGAGATCGTCCGCTCCTGGGGCCTCAAAAGCCACCCTGGGTGCTGCGTCCTGCCCCACACACCCTCAAGAAGCACAGAAACCGAGTTCTGATCTACCCTAAAGAGGCACAGGTCCAGCTTCAGTTGCTCAGAGGTCCAGCCCATAGCGGGCACATGGTTTGTCCTGAAAAGCGTGGTCACAGCGGGGCATGGTGCGGAAAGAGCAGAGGACTTGCATCTGCTTCTGGGCTCCAGGCTCCGGGAGTCAGGGTGCCAAGCAGAAGATGCCAGCAGATGAGCCCACAGACACGGAGCAGCAAGTGGGCTGAGAGGACTGCAGGGATCGGGATGGGCCAGCTGAGGGGTCACCTAGAGGGTGGCAGGGGGGCCTGGGCGGCAGAACGCCCAAGCTCCTGTCTGAAGGGGCAGCTGCTATTCGTCAACGGCTGCTTGGTACCCAGCAGGAACTGGAGTCTAGGGTGGCCCAGTCTTCTGATTTATCTTGAAATGCAGGGTGTATACCTGTGTATGTATGTATATGTGCACATGTGACTGAGTGTGTGTGTGTGGGTGGGTGTGCGTGTGTGTGCATGTGAGAGAGAGCGATGTCTTGATTTTTCAAATACTGATTGGAGGCTCAGTGCACGTTGCCTCAGGCAAGTCTGAGTCCTGGGCGCCCCCTACACCCTGAGCGGTGGAGACACCCCAGGCACTAAATGACGTGATTCAGATGCAGACGACCCGGCAGGCAGTAGTGTCTGGAGCCGGGTTTGTGACCAAGAGGCCTGTTCACTGTACTGGGTCAGCCTCTTTCTTCCAGATGCCTGTCACGGGTACCTCATTTAATTTTCACAAGAAGTCGCTGAGATGGAGTGGGAGTTTGGGATTCACACATGCAAACTACCATATATAAAACAGAAAACCAACACGGTCCCCATTCATTATGGTTTATCACAGGGTATTGACTATAGTTCCCTCCGCTTGAGACCATTAGTTCTATAACACAAAACTTCACTCATTCATTTGTTCACTCACTCATTTAATCAACTAATACTTTCTAAGTGCCTACCACAGACAGTGGTAATTAGGAGTAATTAGGTTTGGGGTATAGTTATGATAAGGGGCTTTCCTGGTGGCTCAGATGGTAAAGAATCTGCCTGCAATGCAGGAGACCCAGGTTCAGTCCCTGGGTCAGGAAGATCCCTGGAGAAGGGAATGGTTACCCAATCCAGTATTCTTGCTTGGAAAATCCCATGGAAAAGGGAGCCTGGCAGACACGACTGAACATCTAACACTACTACTGTTACCATGATACACACCCAGAATGACAGTGGCTAGAACAAGGCAGAGGACTAGCCCTCTGTCATCGTTCATTTTATGTGTCCACAGACAGGGCTACAGGATGCCCAGAGAGCTAATGAAACATCATTTCTGATTGTGTCCATGAGAGTGTTCTTGGCAGAGACTAGCTTTGGGATCAGTAGACCCTCACCCATGCAGAGAAGAGGGAGCACATCACCCCATCCTTTGAGGGTGAAGGATAGAAGCAAAGGGAAGATGAGGATGGGTTTGCTCTCTGTTTGAGCTGAAATGTCCATCTCCTGCCTCCAACGCCAGTGTTCAGGCTCTTGGGACTTCAGATTCACACCATCAGCTCCTCTGGTTCCTGTACCTCTGGGCTTGGACTGGGGTGGAACCACCAGCATCCCTGAGTGCCAGCTTGCAGGCAGCAGATGGTGGTACTTCTTGGCCTCCAAAATTACATGCGCCAATGCCTATACTATTTCCCCTTAGGTATATATCTATATGGGCTTACCAGTTGGCCCTAGTGGTATAGAACCTGCCTACTAATGAAGGAGATGTAAGAGACTCGGGTTCAATCCCTGGGTTGGGAAGATTTCCCTGGAGGAGGGCATGGCAACCCACTCCAGTATTCTTGCCTGGAGAATCCCATGGATGGAGGGCTACGTTTCACAGGGTCACAGAGTCGGACATGACGGAAGCCACTTAGCACGCATGCACTTATGTTTACATGCCCCATTTGCTCTGTTTCTCTGGGGGACCCTGATGTTGACTATCTGTCTTGTCAAAGTCCAGCTGGCATGTCGCTCAGACCCCACTACCTTGTGTCTCAGCCCTTCTGGAATGAAACCCATTGTCAGGGCCCGAAGTAGCCCCTGCCTCACCCCTGGCTCCTGCCAGGAGCAGAAACGCAGGGGGATGGGCCCAGCTGGCAGCGGTTTCCTTCCTGCCCACTTATATCCTTTGCCCAGGACTTGGCTCATGACCACTCCCGGCTGCAAGGGAGACTGGGAATGGGGTCTTTATTTGGGGTGAACACAGGTCAAGTTAAAATCAGGAGATCTGCCGCTGTGTGAGAGCGAGTGGGACAGAGAGTGGGTGATAACTAGTGGGCACTGACAAAATTGATGAGTAAAACAGATGTGCTCCTGCATTGAGGAGACTCAGGGCCAGATGAACGTCTGATGAGTGATCTCAAGGGTTATGCTTCCCACTGAGCTGAGAGATACCATGGAAATGCACAGGGAATGCTAACGGGAGTCCGGCAGGGCAGAGATATCAGAGCAAAGTCCTGGAGGAGGATAGGCTGGGGGCGGGGAATGTGCGGAAGAGGTTCCCACCAGGCAGAGAGTGGCAGGACCTTGTGGCCATCAGGATGGTGTCACTTAGAGGATTTGAAAGAAGGCTGCTGTGGCCAGAATCCCACAAGCAGTGAAGGGGAGTATGGGGGCCGCAAGATGAGAGGGGTGACTCAGGTAGACAGGGCTTCCTTCCCTGCAATGGTGGAAGCTTCGATGGAGGTGGTGACCTAGCTGCACTGCAGATCATTCCACTTTACTGCCTGGTTTTTCTAGAAATGAGGATCCTGGAAAGATTACAGGGGTGCCATGGAGGAAGTTGTCCCACTGGCAGTGGGGACAGAGGGCTTGCCAGGCTCTACTCCATGCTGGGCATCCTAGGCCAAATGAGAATCACAGGATGTTGGATTTGGGAAGATGCAAAGAGCATCCAGCCCAACTCCTCTGTGGTCCAGGCGAGGAGGCTGAGCAGAGAGGGAAAGACACTCAGCCAGGCCACCCAGCAGGGCGGTGGCAGAGCTGGAGCCAGAACTGATGCCTTGGCTGTTGGCAGGATGGAACCAGGCTGCTTGGGCCAGGGTCATTGGGTTGAACGGGTGTCACTCGGTCCCTGGGAGCTACCTGTCTGAGGCAGCTCTAGAAACTTAAATCTGCTAATTAATTTCTAATTTCAGCCCTAAGCCATAAAAATCAAACCACATACTGAGCTGTCCACAGTTGCCTGACAGCTGGCCTGTCTGATCCTGGCTGTCTGCTCACAAATTGGTATTAGTGGCACCAAGAGCAGATTAATGTGGTGACCAGGCACCCAGCAACTTGACGCCACCAGCTGGGCTGCTAAAGCTGCCAATCTCCCCCAGCTGCCAAGCGGCCCAGGCGCCTACATTTCCCCAACCTTGGGTGGAGAGCAGTCCCAGGCCCAGCAAGGGATGGGTCTTCCTTTGGCCACCAAGAGATGCCACTGGTCCAGCAGAAGATACATGAGAAGGAGCAGAAAGCATGGCCAGGAAGGCCAAGATTTCAGGGTCAGTAGAGCACTTCAGGGCCAGTGGGGGCCACGGACATTCATCATCTGAGCCAAAGCCCACACTGCGCAGCTAGAGAACTGAGTCCAGAGAGGTAGGTGCTATGCCCAAGGTCACACAGCACAGGGCTGGAACTCGGACTCGTTCCCTGTGAATCTAATGTTTTTTCTGTTCCACCACTTGGCGGATGGACCTTTCCCACCATTATTAACCTGAACCTCTCTTTTATGGATTTGTTCACTTATGTATGGTCTATTAGCATCTCCTGAGCCCCTCCTGGTTGCCATACACTGCACTGGGCACTGAGATATGGGAAGTAATCCTTGTGGAAAGGACTAGAGGCCTGACAGAGTCATTCACTGAGATTAGTGCAGTGTTCATTGTAGAACAGGGAAGGGGAAGACATTTCAGAAGGGATGAGTGATGATATGGGTTGCATTAGATAGGACTGGAAAAGAACACAGTAACAACAGAGTAAGCAAAGCATCTGTCCTGTTAAATTGCAGGGCCAGTATGGCGATTTTAATCTGTAAAGACCCAGGAGATGCAGGCTTCTCGCACCTTCCTGCATCACTAGCCCTAGCGAAAAGCTGCGGTCCTCTAGGGCCAAGGTTGCCTAGAGCTCCAGCCATCACATCTGCATTCCAGGTGGCAGGATAGAAGGACAAAGAGGAAAGAGGCAAACATATGGTCATCAAAACAAAGGTTAGAAGAATGTCCAGTGTCAAGAAGTACAAAGGGGCTGAGATCTTACTCGCTGTGAGGCTAGCATGCCATCCTGACACTGGTTTACAGAGGTTGGCAGAAGAGGCGAGAACCATAGACTTTATTACTCACAGCACAGCAGGTAGCAAGAGCATCAGTGTATTTGCGTCAGTTCCTCTTATTCCCAAATCTCAGGGGGCAACGTGAATGGGGCCAGATGGATGCTGCACATGCAGTGAGGCATTATAGGAGAGGAACCCTGACTTAGGGAACCTGGAGCTTCTATAATGGGGAGTAAGCACACCCGCCCTTTGCTCTACTGGGAGACATGTTCTTTTCCAAGACTCTTCAAAATAGAAACATCCCTGAAAGGGCAGCTGGTCCCTCACTTACAATACAATATGGTAAAAATGTGAGAGACCCACGGGGGAACTGTTTCTCAATACATGCAGCTTTATTCATAACAGCCCAAGCCTGGAAATAATCCAGGGTCCTTCAACAGGGGCATGGATATACTCATGCAGTGGACGATCACTCATCAATAGAAACTACAATAAAGGTGACCCTCAAAAACGTGATGCTGACCTAAACCCATCAGTCACAGGAGTATACGTTGTATGAATGATCCATTTAAGTGAAATTCTGGAGCAGGAAAAGCTAATTAATGGTGGAGAAAATCAGAACGATGGTTGCCTAGCAGTGGGAAGAAGGTTGACGATGGACTGGGAGAGGGCATGAGGTAACTTTCTGGGCTGCTGATTCTTAATATATTTGTGGGGACTCACCAAATGTACACTTGAAGTTGGTTCATTTCATTATATGTAAAAATTGTACATCAAAATATTATAAACAAATATACACTGACATATTTGGAAGAAAGTATATTGGTGCCTGCAGTTTACCCCAAAATGAATCCAAAATATTAATAGGGTTGTTGATGGAGGGATAGGAAGGATGATAGATAGGTAATAGATGGTAGATAGATGGATAGATCATATAGAATCTAGGGGATGGGTATGTAAGAGTTCACTATATAATTATTCTAATTTTTCTATATATTTTAAATTTTTCAGAATAAAATAGGGGATAAAAAGATGGGGCAGAGGTCATATATCAGCTGTCCTTTTAGAAAGCTCGAAGAAGCTGCCACAAGACAATTCTGCTCACACTCTATTGGCTAGAAACTAGTCACATGGCCACCAACTGCAAGGGAGGCTGGGAAATGTAGTTCTAGGTGAATCTGGATCCTGGCAATACTTCTAACACTGAGAAAGAAGAGAACAGATGTTAGAGATCAATCTGCAGCTCCTGCCACGAGCATGACTGCTCTGAGCCCACACAGCGCCTTCATGGGAATTCGAAAAAGGCAGGCCCTCCGCTGGGCTTGTGGGCCTGGGGCTTGGGAACAGCTCTGAGCGTGGAGCATGGGGCTGGTACTGGCCTCACTTGCCCCCAGGCCGGATGTTCTCAAGTGGGTGTGACCTGCACAACATGCACTATAGTTCACTGTAGTTCAGTTGCTCAGTTGTGTCCGACCCCACGACCCCCCCAGCCAGGCTTCCTGTCCATCACCAACTCCCAGAGCCTTCTCAGACTCATTACTATCGAGTCAGTGATGCCATCTAACCATCTCACCCTCTGTCATCCCCTTCTCCTCCTGCCTTCAATCTTTCCCAGCATCAGGGTCTATTCCAATGAGTCAGTTTTCTGCATCAGGTGGCCAAAGTATTGGAACTTCAGCTTCAGCATCAGTTCTTCCAATGAATATTCAGGACAGATTTAAGCATACAACATAAAGTTTGTCAACTTTGTTTGTTAAAAGAAAAGATTGACCACTTAACTAAATAATTTCAATTTATCTCAGAAATCCTTTGAGAACAAAAATGAATCTGTTTCTGTGTTGGTTTGGTTTCCAATAAGAAAGCTACATGTGAGAGACATAAAAAGCAGACTTGTGTTGCCAAGTTGGAGGAGGGGTAGGAGAAGGATAGATTGGGAGTTTGGGATTAGCAGATGCAAACTATTACATTTAGAATGGATATACATGGTCTTAATGTATAGCACAGAGAACTATACTCAATACCCAATGACAAACCATGATGGAAAGAATATGAAAAAGAATGTATGTGTGTGTATATCTGAGTCACTTTGCTGTAGGGCAGAAATTAACACAACATTGTAAATCAACTATACTTCAACAAAAAATAAATTAATTTTTTTAAAAAGAAGAAAATTACATGTGAATATCAGGAAGACTGTGTACGGTTCCCATAGTCCATACCTTTGCTTCTGGAAGCCCTCAATGTGACCCTCTACAGACATCTGGAGCACACTTTTTAAACAAAAACAAAAACCTTTTCTTCTCCCCTTCCAGAGTCCGGTCCCTCACTCATGGAGTTGTCAACCGCCTGTGGAATGCCCCTTCCAGAGCAGAGGGGTTTCCCACTGAGTCATCTGGCTGTCAAATCCCAGGTCAGACCCTTGGGCCAACAACGGGGAGCACTGGGAAATCAATCCCTAGAGCTGAGACTGGAAGAAGTGAGCTGTGCTTTTTAATGTTTCTGGAATGTGCTTGGAGATTTGGAACATGGAAGCGCTTGAAGTACATTGCGTAACCCAGTGGACTCTAAGCAGGAAGGTTGTCAGTGGGCTTTCCACATCGTGCATCGGTAGTTTATGTCTGGGCTACACATGCGATCGAAGCAGCCTGGAATTTTTCTGGAATGCATGGGATAGCCCCAGGTTTGACTTGCTTGATGCCAGAGAGACCGGGTTGCTCTGGGCCTGGCTCAGAAGCAGAACAGGAAGCTCTGAAACAGGGAGTGCGTGTGTGTGTGGGCAGAAGAGCCCCTCCATGTGCAGCCTGCAAACCTCCTTTCTTCCCTGTGGAGATGCACTGCCCTGCAGGGCAGAGTAATATACAGAACTCTCAAAAGCAGTTCCCCTTCTCAGCTTTACATTTCCTTAGAAAAATGTCATCCTTCACCCCCGTCTCTCTGGGTCACTCCAGAATCTGACACTTTCCCAAGGCTACAGGGAGATGGAGCAGACCCATCTATTGCCTGGGGATTGCTGTGGCCCTTACCTGGTCTCCCAAGTTCTCCTTTTCTCCTCTACAACCTGGTCTCCACACACAATCAGAGTGACTGTCAAGAAAACCCTATGTCGGCGGGGGCTGGAGGTGTAGGGTCGGGGCCGTTCATGCCATTTCCAGGTGGGAGTCAGAGCCTGGGGGCCATGTCAGCAGATACTGATCCACAGCAGAGGGCAGGAACCAAGTTATTCTTGACCTGAAAGCAGCAGGCTGGTAGGAATTAAGTGAGAGATGCCATCTACAAAGAGTCCTCTTTCAAAAATTGCAATCAGACATTTGGCCTAATGTACCAAGGGGCTGTATAAGCAGAGAAGACGAATCATCACCCAGTGGTTCAGTATGTACTACAAGGTCCAGATAAATCTCCCCTCACCTGACTGTAGTGCACTGACCCAAAGAGATGGAAAACAGCCCAAGTTTACTGAAAAAAAGCAGCTGCTTCTATGTGCTTTCTTCCAACACGCATGTAAAAATGTATACACATCTTAGCTGCAATGTATTTGGAATGCAATCTACATGAACCAATTCAGATGGAAATGTAATTCCCCTTTGGAACTGGCACATTTTGTAAAATCAGGGCTTAAAGATAAAACGATTTTAAACCTGAGAAAAAAGCAAAAGCAAAAAAAACCTTTATGTTAGAATGGCAGGTTGGGTCAGTCCTCTGCTCAGAACCTTCTGCAGGTTGAACACCCCAGCAGACATAAGTCTCAACGTTGAATCATCCTGGCTGCCACTGAGAACCCCAGGGCACTTGGTGATTCCTGACTCCCAGACGAGGAGGCCCCAGTGTCAGCCAGCACCCCAGTGCCCATCCTGGGGTGCACACCCCTTCACTCCCACGCACCAGCCTCCCTGGGCTCCTCGGTGGCTGCCCCAGGGCCTTTGTCCCTCCCCTGACCTATTTTGGTCTCTGCTCACATGTCACCTCCGCAGAGAGCCCAGCCTGTCAGTCCTACCCTTTCTTCTTGCTCATTATCCCTTGAGATAGTCTCACTCTGAGTCTCCCACCAGGGCCTGGCATCTTTGGTTTTGCTCTGGAACCCTCTGAGTCTAGAAGAGTGTGGGCACAGAATAAGAGCTTCATTAAGTTACTCAAATCAGGAGTAGTGAAGAAGGGTTGGAGCTGTCCCTGGAATAGCAGAACCCTGCCTACAGAAGCATTTTCCCCTGGGGACCAAGGAGAGGGGAGGGTGTTGGAGGAGGGTGCCAAAAGAAAAAAAAGGTGTAGGAGGCACCAACGGTGGTTATGCGCTGGGTCAGGGCTTTGCCTGCTCATCGCGTGAACCTTGCAGTCTCCTGACTTCGGCTGGACAGTGGGTATAATTGGGCTTGCTTCTGAGTGTGAGGAAGTGAGACTGGGCCCCTTTCAAGGCTCAATAGTATAATTATGGGTCATGAATGTGTAAGCTCCAATCCGCCTCTATTGTGCTCAGTCATGTCCAACTCTTTGAGAGCCTATGGACTGTAGCCCACCAGGCTCTGTCCATGGAATTCTCTAGGCAAGAATACTAGAGTGGGCTGCCACGCCCTCCTCCAGGGGATCTTCCCAACCCAGGGATCGAACCTGGGTCTCCTGCATTGCAGGCAGATTCTTTACCATCTGAGCCACCAGGGAAGCCCTTAACAGTTTTAGATGCTCTCCAATTGCCTGCTTTCTGTAATAATGAACTCTTACTGACTAGGAACAGCAGCCCAGAGAGGCATAGTATGTGGCTTGAGAATCCTGGGATCCAGGGCTAGAGCCTGGACTAGCCACTAGAGTGGTAACCCTGCTCTGCTTGAAACGAAGGACCAGATTAATTCCTGTTTAGCATATTAATTGAGCTAAATGGCACCCCTTCTGGGAATAACAAAAATGTCCTTAGGCACCTAGGCCTTTGGGATGGCCTTCACACTCCAACATCAGACCTTCACTTTCTTTTTTTTAATTAAAAAAATTTTTTTTTCCCATTAGCCATTAAAAAGAATTCATTTGAATCAGTTCTAATGAGGTGGATGAAACTGGAGCCCATTATACAGAGTGAAGAAAGCCAGAAAGAAAAACACCAATACAGTATACTAAAGCATATATATATGGAATTTAGAAAGATGGTAACGATAACCCTATATGCAAGACAGAAAAAGAGACACAGATGTATAGACCTTCACTTTCTAGATGAGCTTGACCGACTCGATGTCACAGGTAGAATTTGCCTCCTTTGGGGTCATTGGCCCTGCGCCTTCTGTTGGTCAGGCTGAGGCCAGGCCAGGGGATCTGCAGCTACATCCTTCCCTTTTCCAGACCTTTGCACATCCACTTCCCCATCCCACCCCACCACCTGACTGACACTGCCTGCTAGCCCAACTAACACACCCCCAGCTTTGCCTGCAGTGCTGCCTTCAGATTGCCTGTGGGCCCACCGCGGAAAGGGGCTGTTCAACACTTGCCCAGTGCGTTCCTGCCCTAGGGTCCCTTCCTTAGGACCCCAGCACCACCACCCTCCCCTCTGCCAGCGTTGGAACCCAAGCAGTTCCCTGACTCTCCTTCCTGACACCCGTGGCTTTCACCCCGCCCACCCTGCACGTGCACAAAACACCTCAGGACCTCGCTCTAATGCCTTGCCCCTGCCATCTCCTCTTTTGGACAAGAGCCCTGAATTCTCCTTCTCACTCCCACTCTGGCCGTGGGATCTCCTCCCCCAGTAGGTGCTAGAGGGAGTCTCTGGAGGTCCATCAGATCCCATCACTGTGCCCCCAGCACCGGCTGCCCCTTCAAAGCCTTCTTGCATTCAGAAATCTGTGTGCTTTTCTGGACCCCATGACCCAGAAAATTCCAGGACCTCATGGAATCAGCCTTCTTGCTGTCCCTTGGCATATTCCAAACCTCTTTTGGGACAGAATATTTAAGAGGAAACCTGAAAGACAAGGGGAACCAGCCAGCTAAAGAGCCAGAGGAACAGCATGTCAGGCAGAAGGAATGTCAAGAACAGGGGCTCCGAGGCAAAAAGCCCCCAGCAGCTTTGGGATTGCCCAAGGTTTCCCTGGTGGCTCAGCTGGTTAAGAATCTGCCTGCAATGCAGGAGACCTGGGTGTGATCCCTGGGTTGGGAAGATCCCTTGGAGAAGGGAAAGGCTACTCACTTCAGTATTCTGGCCTGGAGAATTCCATGGACTGTATAGTCCATGGGGTGGTGAAGAATCAGACCCGGCTGAGCAACTTTCAAGGCCTCTGTGGCTTGGTGTGCAAGGTGAAGGCAGAGAGAGGAAAGGATGGAAGATGAATCATGGCCAGGTGGCTTAGGCAAGGAGTTTGGATTTTAAGCAGGAGAATGCCTGGATCTGGTTTATGTGTTCATGAGCATTTACCCACCTGAGTGAGAATATTGGGGTGTTTTCTTAGCTCCTCCTCCAAGAACTCCCCTGCCCACTGCCGACACGCACATACACACACCCCTTCCATCTGTCCCCAAGCCTCTTGGATTCACAACCCAAATTCCCTCTGGCCAAGTCAGTCCCTCCTGTTGCTTCTGCTAGGTTATCTTCTTAGGCTAAATGACAACAGCCTAGGAACTGCCCCCTGTCCCCCATGCCCCAATGAAAACCTCATTCGCTTACCCTCAACTCAGGGCTCCCGCATCCAGGATCCCCATGCCCCTTCACCTGCTCTAGTCCCTGGAGCCCAAGCCTCAACCTCAGTGCAAAAGTCAAGGGCCCATTTCGTTGCTCCACGCAGTGCAGCAGTGAGGACCCAGTGCTGCCAGACATTTAGACATTTCGGGGGAAGTCTGAAATCCTGATTTGTATGGGGAAACTCCCAGTTGTAAAATATTAGCTCAAAACCAAAAATGTTTTAATGCTGGTAGAACCAACACATGCTATGGAACACAGTTAGTCCAGGCCTTCTGATCGGCAGCTACACGCATGACATCTAGTCCAGCGCCTCACAATCAATCTGCTCTTCAATCAACAACCCACAAGTTGGGACTGCTCACTGCTGCCAGGCATTGAGCTGAAGTAGCAAGAGATTCAATATCCTTGGTTTTCTCCTGGTCCTTTAAGGCTTTCATGATTTCATTTAAACCTTCAGTTCACATAGAATTTATTTTGGTGTAACATATGAAGTGAGGATCTAAATTCATTTCTTTTACAGATGGGTGGCCAATTGTCCCAATACCACATATGGATAAATCCTGTTTTTAAAATGCCAACTTGACTATATAGTAACTTCCTATATATATTGGGTGACTTCCTATCATTTCTAAATTATATATCTCTCCATGGGCTTATACCATACTTTTCATTATTTTAGTTGTATAATAGATTTAAAGACATGGAAATATCTGATGGAGTTATCTCTGCTCTTTACATTTCTTTTTCAAACTTTTCCTGGCTAATCTTGCTTGGGTATTTTTCCACATCAACTTTAGAATCAACTTGTCTAGTTCTATGACAAATCCTCCTGGTGTTGCCATTGTGATTATGTTACTGTAGTTAGGGGGAACTGTTATCCTTCTAGGCTGAATCTCTTTATTCGAGAATATGGTGTAAATTCATATTTGTATTCTTCAGTAGCATTCAGAAAGTTTTCTTCACATAGATTTTGCACTTTTTAAAAGAATTTTATTGTTAGGTTGCTTTTGCTAATGGAATCTTTCTTCCATTGTATTTTAGTACTAGCTAATTAACTTTCTGTGTATTTCAAAGCTATGGATAACGCAAAACTAACTGTACCCAGTTACCTGACTCAATTATTTCGTCATTTCAATAAGGTTTTCAGTTGTTTCTTGTGGGTTTCCAAGTAAACAGTCAAACAGTCTTCAAACGAGTAGGTCACCTCCTCCTTTCCAGGTTGATGCCTCTTTCCCATTTGATTGGCTGGGACTCCAGTAGACAGCGATGGTATTGTGGTATTTCTACTATCTCCCCTGGTTTCAGATCCAAATATATAAAAATCAATTTATGGCATTATTCGTGTAGTCTAACTTCTTTAAAGCTTTTTTTGGGGGGTGCATATGTAGAATCTTGGTTCCCCAACCAGGGATCGCCCCCCACCACTCACAGTGGAAGCACAGAGTCTTAACCACTGGACCATCAGTGAAGTCCCCCTCAAAACTTTTTTAAAGATCAAAATAAATATTGAATTTTATTAAATAAGTTTTTTAGAACAATAGAGATAAAAATTCTAGAGATTTTAGAGACCAAAAAGGTCTCATAATGCGAATCATTGGACTTCTTAACATCAACCCAGAATACCAGATGCTGATAGAGAGCTGCCTTCAGAATTCTGGGGGAAGATGATTTTCCAACCAAGATTTAGGCAACCAGCCAAACTGTCAATCAATTATCCAATAACTGAAATCCCATATGCAGTTTCCAAGGAAGCTACTGGCGTACATATTACAACAAAATGAAGGGAGTCAACTAAGAAAGAAAATGGCTTAGGATCTAAGAAATAAGGAATCAACACAGGACAGAGGTGAAGGGAATTCTCAGGCTAAGGATGAAGAGAAATGTCAGGGCTTCCATTAGACAGTGGCCAGGAGAACAACTGGTCAGTTAGGAGCAGGAGGACAGAGCTCAAGAAAAATATAGAAATTATAGATTACCAGATATGTTCGAATGTATTGCTAGATGTTTAGACCTGTCTGTGGGATGAATTAATGATGCTACAAGAAAAAAAATTAAATGAAAACTTGAGGTAATTACTAACTCCAGAGGTGGGGGAAACTGTAGAAGATAACATGCACAACCATAAAATAGTATTTTGTTTAGCTATGAATACTACTGACTTTCCTGGTAGCTCAAATGGTAAAGAATCCGCCTGCAATGCAGGAGACCTGGGTTCTATCCCTGGGTCAGGAAAATGCCCTGGAGAAGGGAATGGCTACCCACTCCAGTATCCTTGCCTGGGAAATCCCATGGACAGAGGAGCCTGGTGGGCTACAGTCCATGGGGTCACAAAGGGTCAGACACGATTGAGTGGCTAACACTTAAAAATGCTATACATATAAATAATGTAAGTGCTGAGTTTTCATTTAGCAACTGTCATAGAACTGTATTGGAAGGGAAAGTGGGGGTTTGGTGGAGCATTAGCAATCTTATACAGGAGGAAGCCAATGCATATCTAAACAATAATGATAAAGAATGGTATTTAGAAATATACAAGTAAATGTCAGAAGGAAGAGCTAAATGAGTTGAAAGTATCTGCTTATGGGGAGGGGGCTAGGTGGTAAAAGGAAGGATGGATTGCCACTTTTGATTATCAGTTTCATAGGATCACTTGATTTAAAATGTTTTCTGCATAAATATTTTGATAAAAATAGAAATTTGATTTTAAAATATTCCTGTGTGAAATAACTAAAGGCACCTTTGTATCACTTCTGCTCCAGGCAAAATGAAACTGTGTTCCTCAGTCATGCCCAACTCTTTGCAACCCCATGGACTGTAGCCCGCCAGGCTCCTCCGTCCATGGAATTCTCCAGGCAAGAATACTGGGGTGGGTTCCCATTCCCTGCTCCAGGGGATCGTCCCAATCCACAGATAGAACTCAGGTCAAAATGAGCTGACCAAAATTTGGATAGAACAAGACACCAGTCCCAGCTCCACAAATTATTAGCTGTATGACCCTAATAATAGGCAAGTTGCTTAGTCTCTCTGAGCCTCTGTTTTTTCATCTAGAAAGTTGAGATAATACTTATACTTACATTGTAGAGTTACAGAGAGGATAAAATGAGATCATACCTGAGCCTGCATGGAGAAGCATCCCACAACTAAGTCTGCCGTCCTGGTTATTGTTTCAATTTTGCTTCCTTCAGTTCCCAAGTGATTAGCCTTAAGCAACTCACTTAACTTCTCTGAGCCTCATCTTTAAAACTGGAACAAAATACTTCAAGCCTCTGAGGAGATAAATGGGATAATGAGTGTGGACTACCTGTCACCTAATCTCTCTAAAGATCAGACACCTCCTTTTTAAAAACAAGGAAATCCTTTTAGGGTTTTGTGAGGATGAAATTAAATGACATAGCTGAAACCTCGAGCACAGTTCCAAGGACATATTTCTTTACTTTAAAAAGCTAGCAGTGGGTAAAACTAACAACCTTTTAAAGTCATAAAAGTAAGAAAACCTTAAACACATGCTATATGTCAATATGTCAATTATATCTCAATAAATGTGAAAAAAAACATAAAAATATTATATGTTGACTACACAACATCTGGAAATTTTAAAGAAGTTGAAAAACAAAAATCATCAGTAACTGCAATGTTTTCTAATATATATTTTTTGCCTTTTTGCAGGGAAGGGGGGCCTATGGATTGTGGGATCTTAGTTCCCCGAACAGGGATTGAACCCTGGCCACAGCAGTGCAAGTCCCAAATCCTAACAATGAGGCCACCAGGGAACTCCCTGCATCTATTTATAGTATCAGTCAATATGGGACAGTTCATGCTGCTGGGGGAACCATACAGATATTTCAGCAGTTTAACAGCACAAAGGTTTATTTCTGCTCATATCCAGACCACGTGAGTCCTGGTGACTCTCAGGGGTGCTATTCCCCCCAAGGTGGCTCCTGTGACCTCCTGGTTCCTGCACATCACCAATGTTCCCAGGGCTGCTGAGGCCACAGGAGCATGAGCTGGGGAGCCCCCAGCCAGCAATTAAAACACTGCCACCAGGAAGTGATGCATTTACTTTCCTCACATGTCACTGGCCAAAGCAAGTCACATGGCCATGCCTGCTCTAGGGGAGGTTGAGGAAGTGAAATTCTCCAACTGCACTGGCAGTGGGTGGGGGCGGTAGGGTAGGTGAGCCACTGCTCACCTATCTCATGTCTACCCTGCACATTTCAGAGCGGACATCACATTATGTATAGGGTTCTGCCAGCTGCTTTTGTCTCTACCATTACACTACGAACTACTCTTTGGAAACATGTGGTCAACATGCAGCTCTAATAAAACTTTTAAAGTGCCGTGGTGACATGCTTCCCCTTCCCTTTTTCTCTCTGCCCCCTTACCTAGGGAGCTGTGTGCAGATGGCAGGCTTCAGCCCCAGCTCTCGGCTTGCCTTCGCTTCCTCCAGCCAGCGAAGTAAGTACAGGCAGGTCCCGCCATTGCTTCTCCGTACTCCTGCAGCCCTGCAGTGTCGTTCTCTCCAGAAGTAACACGTTTGGAGGTGAGGCCGAGAGAACCTGCTGAACAACTGCCGGCTTAGCAGCTCCACACGTGGGGTGCGGCTGCACGCGGCTCTGCTGGGGCCTCCTTGCTCAGTCAGCCGCGGGTGCGAACGTGCAGTGTTAAAAGTGACACCAGCGCGGTGGAGGCGTCGTTGTCAGCTGTTGCAGGAGATGACACCCAGGCCTGCAGGGTTGAGTGAGAGTTCGGGGAGCGGCAGCCCCTCCTCGCCTGGCCCCAGGATCCAGGGTCCAGGAAACGGAAACTGTGGGGATGTCGAGGACTGTGAGGTTGGAGGCTGAGCGCAGGAAGGGAAGGGGTCCTCGAGGCAGGAACCCTCCTCTGCAGGAGGGTTGCTAGGGTCCATGACCTCCAAAGAACTTTTGCTGGGTGCCCGTCTGGTCACACACGGAGACAGCTGTTATGTTTACAAAAGAGGCAAAATACAACCGATAAGGTTTATGATCCAGTTGTGGAAATGTTACTGATGCACTGGGAACATTGAAAGGAGGGTGGAAATTGCACTCTTGTCTGGCATTGGGCTGTGCGGGCAGTTGGCAGAGTGTCGGAGGCCTTTGGAGGAGGGAGAGTTTGGTGGGGGCACAGAAATGTCCCCAGGGGCTCTGTTCTCAGCTGCTGCCATCCACGAAACCCCAGAGAGGAAGAGAGGGAAGAGGAAGCAGGGTGTGAGTTCATCCTTCAGCAGTGTGTGATCAGGTCAAGGATGCTGTTTTGCAGGTGGAGAAACGTGGGCCTAACCAGCCTCGCTTGAGGCAGAGATGCCGCCAGAGCCAATACTGTGCAACCAAGTTTGCAACCATGCCTTGTGCATGAAGCCTGGTAAGCATTTTCTCACATGGGCTGAGGATATGACCTGCGTACAGCACCGCCTGGGGGCTGGATTTACATTCATTGTAAAGTAAAACCCAACAACACTGACTCTTTTGGGTGTGAAATAAAATGACTCGCCTCTAGTTTTACGGTTTACAAAACACTCTCCTGTTTATCATCGCATTTTCTCTTCACAAGAACCCTGTGACAAACCCATTATAACTACCATTTTGCAACTTAGGAAACTGAGGCTTGGAGAAGGAATGCACTGTGTCACAAAGTCTCTTAGGGGCAGAATGGACCCCAATGCCAGGGAATCTTTTATCTCACTAATCACTCAACATAACCCAGACCTTAGTTAATTTGCTTGTCGTGTCCAATTTCCTCTTCCAACAGGGCCTGCCTTGCACAAGCCCAGCCTGCAGCGAATTGGACCAAGGGTAGAAAGGGGGGCTGCTCATTGGCTGACCAGTAGCCAATCAGGTCTGTTTGTTGGTTTCTCCAAGTATTCACGGAGGCCCGCCGCTGGGGAACCCTGGCCTGACTTCCGCGGGGATGTTGTGATGAAGTCTGTACTTGCCTGTTCCTTAGGTCCTCGGTCCTCCTCTCATTTCTTCCTCACCCACCTGCCCTCCACACTCCTACAGCCCCAGGAACCTGTGAGCCCTGGAGCCCTAATAACTTCTCCCATTCTCTATCCAAGGCGAGTAGGATTTCCTGCTCAGTGAAAGGAGCCCCGTGAATCCGAATAGCCTGGGCTCTGCTCTGCGGCCCCAGCAAGGCATTTTCTGCCCTTTCAGATTACTCTTCTGTAGGGGAAGCATGATGCCTGCCTCAAGAGTTGCAAGGGCAGATTACAAAAGTATTATGAGGCCTATGAGGAGAAGGCAATGGCAACCCACTCCAGTGTTCTTGCCTGGAGAATCCCAGGGACAGGGGAGCCTGGTGGGCTGCCATCTATGGGACACGACTATGGGACAACATCTAGTTGGACACGACTGAAGCTACTTAGCAGCAGCAGCAGCAGCAGCAGCAGCATGAGGCCTATGTATTGTACTGTTTAGTATTGCATTAACCTGCACAGGGCTTGTGCATTTTTTATTCATTTGTCACTTCTTTCTAAGTTGGATTTTCTTATGAGTTAATATTTCCTCAATGGTTTCTTGTCTCCTCCTTCCCTCTCTCCTTTTCTTTCTTCTTTTCTTCTTTCTCAGACACCGCCTTATCTATTTTAAGCCATTTCAAATTCCTAAAATGTGAACTGTTGAGTGTCTGCCATTTGGCCCTAAAATGACTCTGGGCTCTCATGGCCTGTTTTTATCTGTACCATGTGATTTTATTTCATCAGAACTTCATGTATGTGGACAGTAATAAATAACACAGAATCTGAAAAAAAAAAAAAAAAGAATTGCAAGTGCAGGACCACTGGGCCCCACCCAGCCTGTGCTGAGACCCAAAGCGACATTTCCAGCAGCACGTGGCCTCAAAGCTATCCTGCCCTCACTGTGCTCACAGGCTCAGGCTTGAACAACTGGTTTTATCAGGTCTCACAAGCCTCCTTCCAGGGATGCATTTGACAAGTGTTTGGTGAATGTGTCCGTCACCACTCTGTGAGCACGTGTTTCAGGTTTGCTCCCAGCTCTGGCTGCCCCCAGTCTGTTTTCCTGTCCACCTTGATGCTTGTTATGGAGCTGGGCTCCTCTTATGCCAGTTTTTTTTTTTTTTACTTCCTTCTTCGAATTTGCTTCAAATTGCTCCTCTGGCTTTGCTGTCCTTTCAGCTCTGAGTTAAACATCATCCTCTCCATCAGTGCTGGGGAGGCTGGATTTTGGCCCATGCTCTGATGGACTTTGGGTGTGTCTCTGCCCTGCAAGTGTAAGTGGGACTTCTACTAGATTGGATCATATAAAATACAATTTATAAATCATATCATATAAAATATGATTTATAAAATCATATAAAAAGTCTACATTTGTAAGACTTAGTCTTAGGCCTGGCTTTGAGATGCAGCTGAGAGTCCTAGGAGCCTGAAGTCATTTTCACAGCCTATAGATAGTTCATCCTGACCCCCTCTCCTCTGTATCCTTATTCCTCCTTCAAGCTCTTCCCTTTCCTCTGTCACCAAATAACCTTGAAAGTGTGGTCTCCAAGGCCAGCTCTTCTAACCCTTCCCGTTGGCAGGCCCAGGGCTGCTTCTTCCGTAACTGTTTCCTGTGTGCCTGAACGGTCTCAGCCCCAAGGCCATGTCTCCCACTCTCAAATGCCCCCCCCTTCCCCCACAGTACCCCTGCCTTTTCTCCTCCTAGGTCCCCCTCTCTCAGCGTCCATCTTTATTCCTGGGCTCTTCCCTTCTGCTCACACCTCTCAGCCTTCCCTGGAAGTACATCCTAACCTCAGTTTACAGATGAGAAAAGCAAGGCTGGGAGAACAGAAGGAAGCTGCCTGCAGGGCTGCGGAGGCTTACATGGAGTCTGAGTGAAGACTCACCCCAGCGTCACCCTGCACAGCCCACTGAACTCATCAGGCGTGCCCTGCCATCCACTGAACTCCCGATGCAGACCTGGCTTCCACTCAGTGGGAGCGTCTCACAGCCCCTCGCTGCAGCCCTTTTCCCCATGAGGCCCCCCATCATGCTGTTTCTCTATCAGTTCACACCACGATGTCATTTCCCCCTTCCATGTTTCTGTCATCATGAGTAAGGCTGCACATCTCATTTCTTGAGCCCCCGTTCATACTTCCTGAGAGTGGCCTGTTGCTATTTGCTCGTTTTCTTTGGAGCGGTTGATTTTCTTCCTACTGTAGGAGTGCTTTCACATTTAAGGAAACTCACCCTTTGCCATATGTGTTGCAAATATTTTTCCAGATTTTTTTTATAGTGGGATTCTAATATAATATGCAGTCAAATTTTCAATATTTATTTTTTGGCTTGACATTTACTGTCAATCCAGTTGGCCTTCCTCTGCAGTATTCTTCTGGGCTTTTAGGGTGTGAGGTCTCCCCCGACTCTGCCTTGAATCATGTAGGTTGATGATGTGTATACCCAGTTTTGCCAGCCTTCCTTTTAATGTTACTTTCAGCTTCCTCAAAATCAGGGTGAAAGTTATATGTGAGCCTGTTCTCCTGAGGATGCTCTGGTGAGGATGCAGGAAACGGAGAGCAGGTGGTCCATCGTGGTCCGCCTACCCAGCGCTGTCCAAGGACTAGGGTAGCAGGAGGCCTTAGGACGCCCAACGGTTGAGAAGGGACCTCCAGCGGGTGGGTGAGCGAAGGCTAGGGGAGGGGAGAAGAAGGAATTGGGGTGAGAGGGCGGAGGGCAGGCTTGGGACCCTGGAGTCACGGGCTGAAGCAGAAGGGAGCATGGTGCGCCCACAGGCAGAAGCGGCGACTCTTCCCCTCCTCCCCCCGCCCCGCCCCGCATCCGCCCCGCATCCGCCCCGCAGCGGGCGGCAGGCTCTGGGGTCCCTGGGGTCCGGGGGCGGGCTCTTGGCGCGGTCTGGTGATGCCCTAATTAAGCCGCGGGTACATTTCCCAGCCCAACTGTCACCCGCGCGCTACGCAAGCCAGGAATGAATATTCCCAAAGCGCCAACAGAAGGAAGTTCTTCATAAAAACGGAGCCCGAGGGCGTGGAGGGAAAACAAGCCCTGTTCACACACAGGCAGCGCATCCGCTCGGCACGGCCCGGAGGAGGCGGAAGCGCGGCCGGTGGGGCGGCGGGGCGGGCGCCGCGAACCCCCAGCGCGCAGACGCCTAGCGCCCCGGGAGCTGGAGGCTCTTTTCCTGCCGAGCCTTTTACCCGAGCCCCTGGCGGCTCCTCCGCGGGGCTCTGGGACTCTGGGCAGCACCTCCGAGGACCAAGGTGCCCCCCACTCCACTCCCCGCGGCAAACAGCCCCCAGCTGGCGCTGGCCTGAGTCTGGCGGTTTGCTGGGGCACCCTCGCCCTGAAGCCCCTAGACGCTTTGTCTGTCCGCTTTTTGACCCCGTGACCTTGAGCACATCACCCCCCCCCCCCCTGTGCTTCAGTTTCCTTCTCTGAAACGTGAGGCTAATAACAAACACCCTCCTCTGCTTGTAAGGATGGAGGGAGATCCGTGTACATCACTTGCTGTAGTCATGGATCCATAAAGGAGAGATTTGAGGGGTGGAGAGCAGAGATGTTTTGAAAAAACTTCTCCCTCCCTGCTCCAAGGACTTCCCTTTCCATTCCTCCACCTGCTGGGGTAACTGCAGGAAGGCTCTTCAACAAGAGGTCATCACGTGGAGCTCTCTAACTCTTCCAGGGCTCCCTTCAGCCACAAAGCAGCCATCAAACTTGAGATGATGAAGTCCATCCCACTGAGCCTGTCAGGATCCTTGGCTCCAGCTGCTCCCGGGCACCTGGGCCCCAGCCAGGTCCAGATCTGGTGTCCCAGAGCCAGCCACCTTGCTTCCCTCCCCTCTTCCTCCTGGTGTCTCTGCAGGGGCTTTAGTGAGGGTGGGGACAGTGTAGGCTTGGGGGCCAGATTTCCTGGGATTTATCCCAACTTGATGGTCCAGATAGCACCTAGCTCATTGCAGGCCGATGTTGTTATTCACTCTGCAGGCAGTTTACCCTAACCTCTCCTTTCATCTGCCAGTCTCTCTGCTTGATTGGCAGCTCCAGGGGCAGGGGCCAAGCCTCCTTCATTCTGCTTCTCCAGGGTCTAACACAGAGTCCAACACACAAGAGGTGCCCAATGAATTGAACTGGTGATGCAGATAGTGGTCTCAGGGCTGTGGATGAGCAACCCCTCAAAGAATCTCCGTCCACAGATAACCAACATCTGGAAAGTGTAAAGCTCCACTGTTGGCCAGTTCTTTGGGGAGCACTGGCTACATCATTTGTGGAATCCACCGCAAATGAAAACGCAGGCTTTTTGTTAAAATGTTAAGAATTTCAAGATGGTGATGACAGAGTACTAAATTCAGCCCTGTGAGCACTTCTGAGCATGGGCCCTGCACTCCTGCATGGTTGCCCATCCGTTAAGTAGCCCAGCCCTTGGGTCTTGGGGGGTAAGTGCCTTGCGTGTGTCCTGTGAAGATATTATAACCACTGCCCTCTCTGGGCACTGTCTGTAAGGTGATCACCCTCAGCCAAAGAGCAACATTTCCCTTCCTAGGAAAGACTTGCTGAAAATTCTGGAATCAACGGGCAATGATGTGTCCATTCATTCAGGCCAATGAAGCTTTGATTTAAAACAAGACCCTAAGTAGATTCTCCTTCAGCGTGCTTGTTAAGTCACAAGGCTCTCCCTGCCCTGCTAACCAGGTCTTTGGCCCTGTGTCTATGTATTGTGTACTTGCTGTGTGCTGGCCCTGCTCCAAGCCCCAGGAGTACAGCAGTGACCAGCATAGATGAAGCCCCTGACCTCCTGGGCCTGTCACTGTAGTGGGGAAGACAGAAAGCAAATATAAATAAGAAGGCAAATATACAGTGTAAGGTCAGGGAGTACCCAGTGCTATTTGGCAAAAGAGAAAAAAAGGCAGCCTAATCCTACAGAATGGGGTGGGTGTAATGACAGAGCGGTTAGGGAAGGACTCCCTGAGGGTGTATCTTTGGAACAGAGACCTGGATGAGGTAAAAAGGGACCATGCCCAGGCTTGAGGACAGAGTGCTCCAAAGTGGGAATTGTAAATGCAGGAACATGACTGGCAAAAACAGCAGGGGGGCAAGCAGAGGTGGTGTGGGAGGGGCTGAGATCCGAGGGGTCCCTGGGACCCAGAGCAGGCAGGGGCCTCTTAGCTCCAAGAGGAGTTTGGATCTATGTCTTGACCACAGGCCAACAACTCATTTATGTCATTGCCAGCAGGCTGTCGTATTCCCTTCCTCGAGGTGACTCTCAAACTACTTTTCCTCCAAATACTGAGCTTCTGTGTTTCAACCTTGCCTCTCAGGGCCCCAGCAAGATGGCAGGGGATGCAGGAAACGAGAGAGTGCTGGGTTTGACTTGTTCTTCTGCAGTTACTGCTTTGAGACTTGGATCTAATGCTTCAACTCTCTAAATTGAGAGTTTTATCGCATCCTGCAACTTTTTTGGGAGGGTTTGGGATATAAAGCATCTAGTAGGAAGACCAGCACATATGAGGCACTCAGAGGTACTTGGTAAGTATTAGCCTCAGTTATCACTACCTTTTACCCTTTCCAGGGGGCTCACCATTGGTTTTCATCACAGCATCACTAGAATTCCACTGTCCCCATCCTACGGGGAAAAGATAGTTTTGTCCTGAGCATTTTCTTCAAGTTTCTTTCCTGAGGGGGCAGAGGAAGGAAATGTAGTGTTTTCATTCTCTCAATCCCATGCCTGGCACTACTATACATGATTCCATATCATCCTCCAGCAAGCCCGGAGCTCCCATTTCATGGGCACAGAAGCCAAGGCTCAGAGGAGGTCAGGAAAGTAGTGACACAGCTAGGAAGTGGCAGACTGGCAGTCAGCCTGCTGCTCCTTCCATGGTTTCCCTGGGAAGGAAATTCAAAGGTATATTATGGGCTCAGCTGGGCTCTGGGACCCAATGCTAGTGTCTGCTTGTGCTTCCTCCAGGGAAGTCGGATACTATTGTCTGCTACATGCCTTAGTTTTCCCATCTGTAAACTGGGGATAATAACAGTCCCTGCCCATAAGATTATTGTTGAGAAAGAAATGAGATAACCTGTGTGTGCACCGAGAACAGTCCTTGTGTGGCACACAGTTATTGCTCAGATCATCTTAACTATCACATTATTGGAAAGTCATAACCCAGTGTTTTCTTAGTATTAACAATACCTTGTGAATCAGACCCTCCAAGCCTACCCTTCCCTGGGCTGCACCAGAGACGGTGACCTGGGTGACAGCTTGGCTGCAGGGTCCCCTTTGGTGGCCACAGATGACCACAGCTCTATCCCACCCCACGTGCACTTGTCTGCACTAGATCCTTGCACTTCCCATCAAGAGGTGAAGTTGGGATTCCCCTCCCCCTTGAATCCAGGGCCAGAAGTGATATTGCATGGATTCTGAGCCTGCATCAGAAAAGCCCAGGAGGCCTCCCTACTTCTCCTGGGATGCACCCTCTCGGAAAGCAATTGCTCCAGAAGAAGCCCAGGTAGAAGTCACCCTGCAGAGACCCTGAGTTTCTGCCCAGACATGCCAGCGTGCCAGTAAAGTCTTGTTGGCCCCTCCAGACCAGCCCACCACGGTCAGTGCCACTCAGAGCCCTGCCTAAGCTCCCCCCCACCCCAGCCTCTCTGAAGTTGGCAGGGGTTTGCTGTCCTGCAGCAGTGCAGAGGGGCAGGCGTGGGAGTGTCGGCTGAGGTTGGCTGCTAGGCGGGCCCAGGGGTGCCTCAACCTGCTCTGAGGGTTCTGACACACTCAGGCGGGGTCTGACCTGCAAAAAGGGAGGCCCCACTTGGGGCTGCCTGTGAGGACTACCCCAGGAATGCCCCCAGCCTGCTGTCCCGGTGCATGTCTCTTTTCAGCTCCACTCTCTGTGAAGTCCTCATGGATTGGGATTGGCCATGGTGGAGATACCCACACCGTAGAAATTGACAAATCAGGCTTCCCTGCCTCCATCCTGGGTAGGACCTCTGCCCTCAAGGATCTCCCATCTCCTTAAAGGAGACAGACCTCATGTGACCACATCATGTGACCCCCACAGACCCGCAGCCCTCAACACGGAGCAGGGAGGCCCAGGTTTACCAAGGAGATGGGCCTTCTGTCTCTTGCTCCTCTGACCATTTGCCTAAGTCTCAGGCTCGGCGTTCTCACACAGACTCCAGTTAGCAACATTCCTCCCATTTTATAGCTGGGCAAACTGAGGCCTCTGAAGGTCAAAGGTCTTGCTGGAGTCTATGCAGCTTCTTGAGGGACAGAGATGACAGTCATTCTCATGTCTCTCGAGCTGAAGGGGCCTTAGAAATCATATGTCCAGCCTTCTCCTTGTGCAGGCTGCAGGAGCCCAGGCAGGGAGGAGCTTGCCTGCAGGCCCACAGCAAGTTGTAGGTAAAGTTCAGGATCCCTGACGCCCTAGCTGAGTTCTCCCCCACACCCCTTTCCTACCCCTAGATCCCTCCAGTGGCCACTCCCACCTCTGACAGCGACCCTGGTTCCTATAATGCAGCCCACAAGCCCCTTTTGGGTGGTTTGTGTGCAGGGTCACATAAAGGCATCACCCCCACTCTGTCCCTGACCCGGGGTCCCAGCCCTGAGTCTCCTTCTCACATGCTTGGCTTGGCTGGGAGTTTGCCCTGGTCCGTCTTCTTTTTTTTTTTATTTAGCTAATAAAAATATACTTTGAAGGTTTAATTAAAAATTCACAGCAAATACAATTTGGGGACATAATAATCAGAGCACACTTCATGATGCTGTCATGGTAGGCTCTGATACTAGCTTCGGGTAAAACTGCAGGACACTCTCCTGCAACCTGGCCCTTTGATCTCCAACATGTTTCTTTTGAAACAAAACCCGCCTGTTGAGGTTGCTGACATAGTTACTACCCAGATCAATCAGGTCGATGTAGGAGAAGCCGGTGAGCATGAGGTTTCTGAGGAGCTCGCAGCCGATGCCGCCCACCCCCACCACCAGGACCCGGCCCCCAGTCGCGGCCTCAGCCAGCTCCTGGGGCAGCCCCCACGACGGTGCCATGGAGGGAAGACCCTGAGCCACGGTGGAGGCTGAGGCGGGAGAACTGAGCCACGGCCGGAAGCAGATCAGCCTTGGTCCTTCTGCACTTTGTATTCTGCTTATCTCCTTGCAGGGTCAATATTTGCTATTTAAATGATGCTATTTGCTTGTATTTGAGATTTTGCATTTTGCCCTGTATTCTGGGACCTGGAAGGGAGAATCTGGGGTCACTGAGGTTGCCTGGAGCTCCCGGTAGGCCCTGGGAGCTGAATAGCCCTTGGGAGCTGACTTCACTGCCTAGCATTAACTCTTTTTTTCACCACTTTATCCATATTGATACTTAGACACATGCACCTTCTCGTGTTCACATCTATTCGATAAAAAAACAAAAACAAAAATAAAAAACACCTTTTCTTGAATGCCAGTCTCCTGCCAGGCACTCTTAGGTCTGGGAAGCATGGAAATGGAGTAGAGTGGGTGGCAAAGACCACTGCACTCTTGCCAAAAACCTCACTCTGTCTCCAGGGTGAACCCTGTGAGGTTATAGCTCCAGGGTCCCCTGCAGGTGGATGTCGTCAGAGGATGAGTTTCAGTCAGGAGAACATTGGCAAAAGAGGCAAATACCACTTCCCAGGCCTGTCTCAAAATGATCTCCAAATCTCCTCCATCTTCCAGCTAGAATCAGAAGATCCGGTGAAAATTCCAAGGCTGCAGCAGCCAAGATGGCAGCCACTTATATACATGTAGCTATGTAAATGGAAGCTCAAAATTCAAAATTCAGTTTCAGCCATATTACAATTCTTCCCTAGTCACATGTGTGCAGATATCTTGGCTCCCATGGTGGGTGCTGCTTCAAGGCCCCAGGGTCCTGCATGACCCAGTGGAAGGCCACCCACCCACCAGAAATGGCCACGTTGAGTGGTGTGTGACAGAGAAACAAACTTTTATTAAGTTCAGATGGGGGTGGGGGAGGTGTTTGTTATTTACTCTCAGTGATACACATCCTGGCCTGGAGGAACTGCTGGCTAGTTGGGGAGCAGCCCACAAACAGTCAAGTTTGGGCAGCAATGCCGAGACGGAGCGGGACACGGAGGCTTCCAGGGCCTGAGTCCGGGGATGAGGTTGTCTTGTTATTGCTGTTCAGTTGCTCAGTCACGTCCAACTCTGTGACCCCGTGAACTGCAGGCTTCCCTGTCCTTCACAACCTCCCGGAGTTTGCTCAAACTCATGTCCACTGAGTCGGTGATGCCATCCAACCATCTCATTCTCTGTCATCCCCTTCTCCCCCTGCCCTCAATCTTTCCCAGCATCAGGGTCTTTCCCAGTGAGTCGGCTCTTTGCATCAGGTGGCCAAAGTATTGAAGCTTCAGCTTCAGAATCAGTCCTTCCAGTAAATATTCAGGATTGATTTCCTTTAGGATTGACAGGTTTGATCTCCTTGCTGACCAAGGAACTCTCAAGAGACTTCTCCAGCACCACAATTCGAAATCAGTTCTTCAGTGCTCAGCCTTCTTTATGGTCCAGTTCTCACAAGGTTAAGGCTCAAAAATGCCCTTTCAGACGTGGGTAAGATTTAGTTGAGAATTGTTACTCATACATTCTTCCTTTTATCAAAGTATTTTCTCAGGTAGAGCTCTGCTAAGCTCATTTATACAGTGGTACCAATTCATTCAGTCTGTCCCAATTGAATGTCAAATGTAATCGGAGCATTAGGCTAAGCCAAGGAGTAACGAATGATCATTGGCCATGTAGGGGTGCACTAGGCGTTATTTTGGGGTTGGAGAGCTTTGTTGTATCCACATGCAGGTGAGAGAGAAGGGGAATAGGGCAGTCTGGGCCCTTGGCCAGCCCACTGCTTTCCCTTAGCAGAAGGAACAAAGATGGAGTGACGGGACAGAAAGCTCACAGACAAAGTGGAGATGCCCTTCACAAAACTCTGAGAGTTTGATCAGCCAGCAGCCTCTGTCCTGGGTGGGAACAGCTGGCCTCTACCAAGTGAAGAACACCCCCCTCACCCCTCGGCAGGCCTACCTGGGCCCAGTGCACACTGCACCTGGGTCTGAGGCTCCCTACCTGTGGGCAGAGTGCATTCCCTTCTCCCCACAGGAGCAGAAGGCCTGAAGTATGAGGAGGGAACAGCACAGGAGGTGGCCCGTCTGGGCCACTAACTCACAAGCAATCTTGGGCAGGTAGCTGCCCATCTCAGGGCCTCAAACTCAGGTCCACTAAAACCCATTTTTTTTGCAGATGGCATGTGGGATCTTAGTTCCCCCACCAATGATCAAACCTGTGCCCTCCAAAGTGTAAGCACAGAGTCTAAACCTCTGGATCAACAGGGAAGTCCTTTTGCTATTTTTTTTATTAATTGCAATGGTTTTGTATATTTTTAGCGACTGTACCAGTCAGCGTAACAGTAGGAAACAGATCTTGCACTCAAAGTAGAAGGATCAGAGAGTTTAATAAAAAGATCTATTTTCAAAATTAAGGCCAAGGTGTAAGTCAGCTGAGGCATCCGCCCCCACCATCTCCAGGCCTAAAAGAAAGAGGGTCTGGGAACTGTCCCAGATCCCAGTGAGAGAGCCCAGTGGAGACAGCCTCCTGACAGCAAGGGACTCGGCCAGTGCCCACTGAGCCGGAGCGCCCCTCCATCCTGCCAGGACGCCCGGCTGGTCCCTGGGACTGCTTGCTCCAGGCCTGGCAGGTACAGAAAAGTCTGCCTGTCTGAGTGGCAGGCCAGGGTCATCGGGAGAACACATCTAATTATGAAGACACGACATACGCTCCAAAGCCAGGGCTCTGGTTTCCAGCCCTACTTGCAGGATGAAGTAGCTTGTCTTCTCACCTGTAAAATGGGGCTAATAGCAAAATCTGCCTGACGAGTCTAAGTGAGTTAATAAGTAGCTCTCAGGACAGTCTTGGCCACACTGAAGCTCAGTGTATTCCAGATGTTATCACTAGCAGCAGGCCCTGCGCCAACCCCAAGACTCACACCACCTTACTCAAGCCCCCCACGACTCTGGGTCTGTCTGATCCCAGGACCTGTCTGTCCTGGCTGCGTTCCGCTTGTGAGCCGGCTCCACGCTCAGGACGGCGTCACACACACATCCATTTTCCAGGCTGGTCTTTTGCTGTACAATTGTTGGCTGTTTTCTTTTGAGAGACCAATCTGGTGCAGTAGAAGAAACCTTCATTTTCTTGAGTGAAAGATTTATTTGGTACCAAAAGCAACAGAACGACGCGTGTTACTAGTCGGAAGAGCACACGGGGCGGCACCTGGGCCCCTGCGATTTCCTCCCCAGGGGGCCCTGCAGCGTCTGCGGGCAGCTGCGCGTCCCGATGGGCGCCTGGCGGTGCGTCCATGCGACTCAGAGGCGTGGGGTCGGGGCCCGCTCACGGCCATTGAGTCAGGCGGTCTGGTCTGTACCCACGCTCCCCGTATCCCGGCGGGACGACCTTGGGCAAGTCACTTCATCTCCTTCCTGCGTCAGATGCGGACAGAAACGCCAACGCCTCTGTCAGTTTCTCAAATGAGTTAAAACGAGAGGTTGCATGCAGGGTCTGGCACGGAGGCCACCTCCCCGCCCTTTGGAGCCCCTCCTGGATGAAGACAATGAAAAGAAAACCGTTTCCCCAAAGGGGGCCTCTCAGCCCAGGTGCCCCCGGCCGGCTGGCAGCGGAGGGGTTAACGATGCCTGTGTCCGAGGAACAATAAATGGCCGGTGGTGGAAACGCTGAACTGTGATGACAGGGCTGACAGAGGCTATTTTCGGAGCCCAACCGCACGGAGTAATAGGATTGGAGCGGAGGCAAGCGTGACCAGAGCCGATGTTCTCAGCTACCGAGGCAACCACGCCAGCCGCTGCGCCAAACAAAACTCTAGCGGCTGCTCCCCACCCCGCCCCCACTCCCACCGCGGGGTGATGCTGGTGGGGTTATCTCGACCTTCAGGCAAAGCCACCCTCGCAAGGCAGCCAGAAGATTGCTTTTCAAAAAAAATCTTACTTTATTGTAGTTGGTTTACAGCGTTGTGTTCATTCCTGCTGCATAGCACAGTGAGTCAGTTATACATGTATATACATTTCTTTTTGTATTCTTTTCCATTATGCTTTATCATAGGAGATTGACTATAGTTCCCTGAGCTGTACAGTAGGCCCTTGTTGTTCGTCCATGTGATAGTCTGCATCAGCTAATCCCAAACTCCCAATCCAAGCCTTCCCTCCAACCCGCCACCCCTCTCTTAGAAACCACAAGTTTATGTCTGTGAGTGTGTTTCTGTTTCATAAAAGTTTATTTGTCTCATAATTTAGCTTCCACATGTAAGTGATAGCATATGTTATTTGTCTTTCCCTGTCTGGCTTACTGCACTTAGAATGATTGTCTCTAGGTCCATTTGTGTTACCGCAAATGGCATTATTTCATTCTTTTTTATGACTGAGTAATACTCCATTGTATATCTGTATCACAAGAAGACTGCTTTGCTTTCCTAACTGGGGTGCACTGCAGACCTACTGCTCCCCCGCGCTGTGTCCCCAGCTTGCTCTGCACAGCACGGGAGAAAATGGAGACAGAGGGGAGCCATACCGTTGTAGGATGGCCTGGTGGGAAGTGAGCTCCAGTGTCTGGCTGCAGCGACAGAAGTTGGGGGATTCTTCATCCTTCAACGTCTCCTGCTTTGAAAGAGGACTCCCTTCTGTCCTGCACACCAGGGGACAGTGTCTTTCTGTCTTGGCATTGCCACCAAAGCTTACTCTGAGGGGCAGGCAGGGCCCATGTGGTTTGGCTGGATGTTAAGATCCACCCAAGAAGGAGCAAGACCGGGAGCATCTCCACGTGTGCCCAGGGGTCAGGGGTGGACACCCTCTTGAGGGCCCCTAGTCTATTCCAGGAGTTTCATCTCTCAATGCTGATACCTTGGTGACGCAGACCTGCGCATTCTATGTCACAGGTATCTACCACGTGCTAAGTGGCGGGCTCCTTTGTCCTCTAGGTGCCAGGAGGTTCTCAGGCTCAGGTGAGCACCCCCCACCGACTTCTGCGTTTGCCCCCCGCCGCGCCCCCGCCCCCCCGCCCGCCCTCCCAGCACCTCCCCCAGGGCAAAATCTACATACAGAGTGGGATCATACCTCTAGAAAAGCGGCCTGTGCAGGTTTCTTCTTCTTTTCTTCTATGTGACCTTCTCGCTCGCCTGCCAGAGGCACCGTGCCAGCGGGAGATCAGGGTGGCAACAGGGCACAAAGAGAAAGAGGACGCGCAGCCAGGCCAGGAGCTCCAAGCCACAGCCCGCAGCTTTAGCAGCTGGGCTCTGCGGCAGGAGAAAATGTTTGCTAGGTTCTGTACGTTGTCCTGTATATATCAGGGGCAGCACTTGGAGCTCTGAGCCCTGAGGCTTAGTCTAAGCTGCTGCAAGGTGGAGCGGACACTGAACGTGACAAGGAGGGGACCTGGCGCTGGACAGAGGGACTTTAGGAGGGGGAGAGGTGTCAGAGAATGCTGCCAGGCTTCATGGACCTCAGGGGCCTTGGCAGCTCAGGTGGGACCCCAAGAGTGGGGAAGAAAGAAAGTCAAAGGTCAAAGGAGACGCTTCCACTCACCTCGTTCCCTGTGCTTCTGGAACTGAAGGCCGACTTCCGCAGCAGGGCTGTCCCCTCAGTGACACAAGTTCATGAAGCATAAACAGGGCTTGGGGCAGTGCCCCCAGACTCCTGGACTCCCAGCTGCATGGAAGGGAACCAGAAGGAAGCTGAGAGTGTCTTGTGAACTTGCCAAGGGTTCAGCCTTCTAACCAAGAGCTGCAGAGCAGCCAGCCCCTCCAGGGGTCATTATGGGGTCATAGCTATACCTTTGGGCAGCTATCCCCAGATTGGGGAACCCAGCAGCAGAGCCTGCTGTGGAGGTTGCAATCCCCTTGCCTGGCTTTAGGTGTAGTGAGCAGACCCTGGGATCCCAGCTACAGGACTACTGGGGTGGGGAGGGGGGTGGTGGTTGTGGGAAGGGTTGAGAGCAAGATGGCCTGTCCCCTACAGCCCAGGGACCAGCAGCCCCTGAAGGCACAGCCGCATCCCTGCAGCTTAGCGAAAAGGAACAGGGAGGAGGAATGTCCTCTTGAGAGCAAGAGACAGCCTTGCGGCTGTTCCAACCTTTGAAAAGCCAGGTACAAAGCTAAAAGATGGAATGAACTTGAACCGGGACGCTTAACTCTCACTTGTCCTGCAAGATGAGGTCAGGTGGGGTCAGGTGTGTGTGTGTCTGTGTGTGCGCCCGTGAGCACACAATCAGTGGGACACTGTGTACATTTGAAGCCCCTGTCCCCACCTGTGCAGGTCATGAGCAGCCCTGGGGGCCGGAGTCTTCGGGCAGGTTGTGTGGCAATCTCCACCAGCAGCTGGGCCCAGGTTTACCCCAAAGCTATTTCCGAGCGGCAGGTTTGCTGAGCAAATGAAGAGTGTAAACAGGATTGCAGGGGTATTGTTTAAACGCTTGGGCAAACAAAGTCCCCTCCTCCCTCCCAGGCTCCCCTGGAAGCACCTATTGACTGGCAAACAAAAGATGCTCTAATTTATCCTTTCACCCAGGCCCCGCCCCTTGGGACCCTTGCCCCTCTCTGGCATCCTCTGCCAAGGTCAATAGTTAACCTTGAAAGTGCTTCAGCCTTTGAGTTCTGCCCTTTGTCATCCCTCCCCACCCCCACCCCCCATGATGAGGGCGATTTAATGAGATGTTCATGTGACCCACTGCCTCTCGTTTAATACGCGGCAGAGGTCAGAGTGCCGCCCTGGATTGTGAGAAACAGCTGATCAGGGTTTTCTGTTTCAAGTAATACCTGGACACAGATGCATTATGACACTGTCTCATCCTCTCTGGGTGCCCAGGAGCCTACCCTCTCACCCCCACCCAGCCTGGGACCTGCCCTCACCCACTGAGGCAGAACCTTGGGACCGGGCCCAAAATTGGCATTTTGATAGCCTTCCAGATGGTGTTTGTGTTGGATCCTGGAATTCAGGAACCCCTGATCCAGTTCATATTGGACATCTAGATTCAGTGACTTAATGTCGACAGAATAAATGGGAGAAGGAAAGAGCCAGTCTTGCTAAGTGAGGTTTGGAGTCAACTCTACCATGGAGCATCTGGTGACCTTGAACCAGGCCCCACACCTTCCCTGCAGGTGAAATGGATTTGGGGGAGGGTTTAATGAGATAATGGACTTGAAAAAATATTGCAGTGTTCCCGACAAGAGCATCAAAGTAGGAGTGAAAGAGGAGAGGTATAGAAACAGAGGTATAATTCACATACAGTGAAATCCACCTCTTTGGAATGTGCAGATCAAGGACAGCGATGTCTTTTAATATTCATGCAGTTTTACCAGTCTAACTAACCTTGGTTTTCACTTCTCTTCCCTCTGTGGAGGTTGTCCGAGCTTGGATCCATGGGAGCTAGGCCTCTGCTTACCAAGGTTTGAACTCTCTTCCCATCACAAAAAAGCCAGTGTGCTCCCTAAGTGCTGAGCTCTCCTCCTAGCCAGGCCCCTGGCCTCCTTCCCTCCCCTCGCAGTCCTAGGACCACAGCAGTCAGCCAGGCGCAGTGAGGATGGAGGGTCGCCGTGTGCCGCTGCCTTGTGGTCCTTAGGCAGCTCCGGGGTGGACTGGGTACCAGCAGGGTCAGAGATGCTGGACTCCCTCCATCTCCAGCTCTGCAGCTGTCCTGCCCTGACGTCCTGCCCTGACACTGAGGGTGAGCTGGAGCGTCCTGCCCTTTCACTGCAACTCCTTCGTGTGGCATCTGCGCTGTACAAGCGAGTCCTCTGAAGACCTTGATTCAAAGGCGGGAGAGGTGGGGGTGTTGGGGCATCAGGGCCACCGCGCTGCCCAACACCCCTCCTGGCGGGCCCGAGCTGGGCTATTTTTACTTTGGGATGTCCTCCAGCAGCTAGAAGCATCTGCTTTTCCCTCCTTCCTGGGCCCTAATCTCCAAGCTAACCACACTGGTCTGGCTCTGGGCTTTGTCAACCTGCTCCTCTGTGCCCACATATGTGCTGGAAGCATGGGGTCCTGTGTGTGTGTGTCTGTGGGGGGGGTATGCACATGTATGTGTACATATGGTATATATGGCATGTGTCTGCAGGACTCTGTGTGTGTGCAGTGTGCATACAGCAATGCAAGCTTGTGTGTCTATGTGCATGTGTCCATGGCACTTTTTGTGTGCAACATGCATTGGATGCATGTGTGTGTGAACGTGGGTATGTATCTCAATGCACAGGAGCGCACGTGTGCAAAGCCACTGCTGTAACAGTGTGGTTTCTAGTCTCTAGGCAGGCATGTGCCCAGACACAGGCTTATGCACATGAATGTGCAGGAGTGTGGGTA